GCTCCCTGTCTGTCTTTTCTGTCCTTGACTTTTCTGGTTGAATTAGGTAGGACTTCCTGTATGATACTGAAAATTGGTAGTGAGGGGCCAGGGAGATAGTTCAGTAGAATAAATAAACACTTGCCTGTCAAGCTCAAGGACCTGAGTTCAATCCCTGGTATCGGGAAAAAAAGAAAGAAAGAAAGAAAGAAAGAAAGAAAGAAAGAAAGAAAGAAAGAAAGAAGAAAAGAAAAGAAAAGAAAAGAAAAGAAAAAGAAAGAAAAGAAAAAGAAAATTAGTAGTGAGAGGTGACATTTTTAACTTGCTCCTGGTACTGGTAGGAAAATTTCTCAGCATTTAGTATCATGTTTGCTCCTGAGTTTCATAGACGATCCATGCTAAGATGAACTTCTCCTCTATTCCTATTTTACTGAGTTTTTAGCAGAGATGAGTGTTGGGTTCTATCAAATGCCTTTCTGCATCATTTCTTAAAAGCTTGTGATTTTCTCCTTGATCCCCTTAATATGATAAATTATATTAATTCATTTTCAAATCTTGAATTAACCTTGAATAACTGGGATAAATCTGACTTGGTTGTCATTTGTTATTTTTTTTATTGTTAAATTTGATTTGCTGGTATTTTGTTGAGAATTTTTGCATCTGTTTTTAAATTTATTTATTTTTTTATTTTTTATTTCTTTATTTGGTACAGGGTCTCACCATACAGTTTGGACTCATTGTGATCTGGGGCCAGCATGGCCCATCCAGGGTTCCGGGGCCAGCATGGCATGTGGTACTGGGAATCAAACCCAGATCCTTGTGCTTGTCAGGCAGGTGCTTAGGCCACTGGGCTAGCTCCCTAGCCATGCGTCTGCTTTTAATTAAAGACACTGATCTTCTTTTCGGTACTGTCTTTGCATCACTGTAGTATTAAGGGCCAGGCTTCATAGAATGGGAAAGAAAATACTCTTTTGGCTTCTGTCTTCTGAGAAAGATTGTACAGAATTGGTATCATTTCTTTTTCTCTTTCTTTCTTTTCTCTCTCTCTCTCTCTCACTCTTTTTGTGTGTGTGTGTGTGTGTGTGTGTGTGTGTGTGTGTTACCTACCCGGGATTGAACTAGGACTTTGATCTTGCCAGGCAGGCACTTCTGCTGCTGAACTATATCCTGGGCCCAAGTTTCACTGTTCTTAGTAACTTTCCACTTGCTAGATATGTCCATTTCTGATAGAAAGTTACTGACATCTCCAGATTATAATAGTGAATTCAGGGGCTGGGGAGATGGCTCAGTGGAATAAACACTTCCCTGGCTAGCGCAAGGGCCTGAGTTCAATCCCCAGTTCCGCAAAAAAAAAAAAAAAAAAGATAATAATAATAGTGAATTCATCCATGTCTCCTTGCAATGTTATTATTGCCTCAAGTATTTTTATATTCTCCCTTCCATGCTCATGAATGCTTTATGTTCTTTCACAATTGATCCCTCGATCAGTATGTAACACTCTTCTTTGTCCTTGACATCGTTTGATGCTGTGAAGTATGCTGTACCTGAAATTAATACATCTACTTTTGCTTTTGGGTTTTGTTTTGCTTTTGTTTCTTTCTAATTTTATTTTATTTTATTTTGAAGAGTAAAAACAGAAGTAAAAACAAAAAGAAAAAGACAGAAAGAGGGAAACATACCACAGTACATATGTTACAGATTTTCAAACAGGAATAGCTAATTAGCAGTGGTTGCTGTATCATCTATTTCTATCGTCAGATCTGTTGCTCGCATTAACAGATATAGTTGTGAAAGACTGGGGACGTAGTTGAATAAATCCTAATTGTTTGTGTGTTTGTTTGTTTTGCGTCTGATGCTGGCCACTGGGCCCGGGGTGCCACCCTGACCACTCGTGTGCTCCGCCACTGAGCTGCGTCCCCAGCCCTCGCCCTGCTTTCTGTTGTGCTGGTGCGGCGGATCTCTCTTCATACGCTTTAATCCAGGCGTTTTTATAGCTAAAGAAGACTCCTCATAGAAAGCATCCTAGTTTTTTAATCTGAAAGTCTTTGTCTTTTAATTGGTCCACTTAGACGTTGTTGTCTCAGGTGAGAACTGATCATCTGAACTGCTGTCTGCCGTGTTTGCCGAATGGTCTGTGTTTGTTACTCTTGTTCTTTGTCACTTTTCTTTCTTTTTTTTTTTTTAAATTTTATTTTAGGGAAGGGTCTCCAGGGTGTTCAGGGTCTCACTACTAGATCAGACTTGTAGTGATGCGCCTGTTTACAGCCTCCCATTAGCTGGGAGTACAGGTGTGGGCCACCACGCCCGGTCTTCTTTGTCACTTTTCTCACTTTCTCTTCTTTTTTTATTTTTCTCATTTTAATTGAGCGTTTGTGTGATATCATTTGCTTTCTTCCCAATATATGGGTTGTACTGCTTTCTTGCGTTATTTTAGTTTTGCCTTAGAAGTTGTATACTCAGCCAGGGATATAACTCAACGGTATAAATGCCTGGCTGGCAAGTGCAAGGTCACAAGTTTGATCCCCGGTACTGAGGAAAAAAAAAGGTTGCATGCACACTCTGGCGAGATAGCTCAATGGCATAATGACTTACTTCACAAGTACAAGGTCCCGAGTTCAATCCCTAGTACAAAAAAAAAAAAAAAAAATCCAATTTGCATGCATACATAAAACTAATGAAAATCTACTTTCAAGCAGCACTACACCACTTTACAGGTGATGTGAGTACTTTATAAAAACACAACAATCCCTTTCCTTCCCCCAGTCCTTTATATCATTGCTATTATTAATTTATATATATATATTTAAGTGTATCGTTGCTCTTATTATTTTGAACAAACTCTATCTGTTAGCTCAATTAAGAATAAGAAAAACAGAAGTTCCCATTTTATTTTTCCTTGTTTCTTCTCCTATATTCCACTTTTCTTTTTGTAGCTCCTTTTTTTTTTTTTTTTTTTTTTTTTTTTTTTTTGGTGGAATCAGGGATTGAACTCAGGCCCTTGCACTTGCCAGGGAAGTGCTTATTCCACTGAGCCATCTCCCCGGCCCCTCCACTTTTCTTTTTGAAGATCAAAGTTTGTGACCTATATTGTCATTTTTCTCTCTAAAGAATGTTTTTAGACAACTCTATCATATTCGTTAGTACCTTTTGTATATATTAGTTATAATTATTTAAAATTTCTTACCTGATTATTTCAACATCCCTGATATCTCTGAATCAGATATTTGTTCAGTTTCTTCACACTTTATTTTTTAAATGTATTTAGTACAGGGTGTACAGGGTCTTAAGATTGGACTCGTAGTGATTCTCCTGTTTTCAGCCTCCACCACGCCCGATCTCAATCACCAGCTCAACGTGTCTCGGAGGTGAGGCTGGCACGATAGGCTGGGGATCGAAGCCAGGCTGCTGCACTCTGCCTAAACAGGCACTTTAGTCCACTGAGCTACCTGGCAGGTCACATCCCCCCCCCTTTTTTCCTTTTTCTAACTATTGCTATGTCTTGTAATCTTTTCTTGATAGCTGAACTAATACCCTGTACAAATAACTGCAGTACATTAGCTTTGCTCATAGCAACGTAACCGTAAAGTGTGGGGTGCGGCAAGCACCCACGACAAGTTCTCCAATCGTGAGACTGGCTCTCGAACTTGCGGTGAGCCTGTGCCGCTGAGCACACAATGAACATCAGATGTGCTTTTCGCGTGAAGCACCGTGATGTGGGACAGGACAGAAAATTGCGCTGCAGTTGGGTGTTTCCTTGCTGTACCTGGATTGGGTGTTTCCCTTCCCCTTTCCAGTCAGCCTCTGCCCTCACCTTTTCTTGTTGGGCTTCGGGTAATTTCTCTGAAGGGCAGACCTTGTTAAGAACAGAATATTCTGATGTATTTCAAAATTTCCTTGGTATCTGTAACAATAATCAGTTTCCTAATTATTAGAGTTTATTTTGGGGCCCTCAATTCTGTTGTCTGTCTGTGGTTAATTTATCTCTATTTATGCCATTATCACACCATCTTGGTTATTATAATTTTGCCTAAATTTTCAAATTAGAAATTGAGAATCTTCCAAATTTATTTTGCTTCAATTTTTACTATTTTGACCATTGTTCTAATTTTCGTATCAATTTATCGATATCTGCAAAGAAGACAGCTGAAATTCCAATGGTTTTATTTCATTTTATGAGTAGCTATAGCATGACCATTAATAAACAATATTTAGCTTAATTTCTAGTTTTTCTCTTTTCTTTTAAAAGGCCAGTGAGATTCCCACCTTCTCAAGCTGCTTCAGGATTACTTAAATGCTGCTATCATTATGTTTGTTTTATTATGAAATTGTTCAGTGAATTAAAAGAGTTCTTTCCTCCTATTTGCAGTTACATATCAAGAATAGAAATTTTGTTTGTCTTGTTTGTGATTACCAAACCATTATTTTCCTTTTTACTTCTTAGATGACAGGAAGTTAAGGGTATTGAGATATCTTCAACTAACAGACCAGCAGTAGGATGGTTTGTGTACTAGAAAAACTAACTCACCGAACTCTTGGGTAGAAAAAGCAGAGTTTACCTAAATCTCTGTATCTCCAAGGATGTAATTTTAGAATCTTGTTATAATCAGATCCAGTGAAGATACCTGACTTAAAATTATTATTCTCTTAGCAATAGAATCATTCTCTAAATCATTTACTTCTTATGGTATTTCAATATCAGTAGTGTACCAGAGATAGTAGTTAGAAGGTTACATATGACTTTTTTTTGACTGAAATAAAAAGGATGAAATAAAATTTCCAGGAAATGACATGGACTGGGGGAGCACCGAGGGGGGCCCCGAGCCACTGAGGAATTGCAGGCTGAATGAGAGTGGAGGAAGGAAGCCCCGCACAAGTCACTGCTTTTAAAACCAGGCCCCTACCTCAGGGATGGTTCTAGTTAATCCCTCAATTCAAAGGGATAAACCCTGCTTTCTGGTTAGATTGTTTTTCAGTGTCTTTAATCTCTGAAAGGATAACTTGAGAGTTTCACCTTTCTACAGTGTTTATGTCATGGTTGGTGCCGATGTCCCTTTTTCTTCTTGTTTGCGAGAAGTTGAAAATCCACAGAATCAACTGAGATGCAGCCAAGAAATGGAGCCTGTAATAACCTGTGATAAAAAGTTCCGTACCCAGTTTTACATTGACTGGTGCAAGATTTCACTGGTGAGTTCCTGTTTAATTGTGGCTTTGCAAATGTAATTAGGAGTGGTGTGGCAGGACACAACATTGGGCTGAAACCTGAATTGCTTTTAGGAAAAAAGCCCAAATTACCTTGGAGAATGCAGTGGACCTCCTTGACTGTACAGATTTGGTTACTTCATTAATACTGTATTCATTTGGGAAAAGGTATCTCTACCTTTGTACTCACTCTGCCCTGGATTAGTGGCCGGCTGGCTTAGCTTGGTAGGTGCGCCTGTGGGACACACAGATGCTGTGAAATCAGCACAGAGGAGTTGGGTAGTCTGTGCAGAAGGCCTCTTCCAAATGTGCAGCCGGTCCCTCACTATAGAAGGTGAGAGGGAGACCAGAAACAGCACATTTCACCATCAACCATGACTCTTCTAAGATTCCGGGTCCTGCAAACTTAACTTGTAGAAAAAGTGCAAAGAAGAACAACTAATTCCCAGAGAGGTATTAGGATCTATCTTACAGTCTTAAGTGTAAGTTCATGAGCATTCTGCTCTTTCTAAACCACTTTTTCATTCCTATGCTACAAGATAGGGAAAAATGTAAGCAAGATTTCATATATAAGTTAGATAGATGTGTGTAATATCTTAGATATTTACATTTAATATTTTAAATAAGTTGCTCTGTATATGTTTTGATACTGATATCTGAAAAATAGCAAAGTTGGTTTAATTCTGTAGTGACCTTTAGGTTAAACTTCAGTCAACTGTCTGCAACTGGCATTGAGCGAATGAGATCTAAGTGGAAGGTTGACATTTGGACAAAGTTACTGACACATAAACACAACTCTCACTTCACGTCTCCAAGCCAACTAACTGCAGGCAGCTTTCCAGGTTCCAGCTTGGTCCAGGATCCAGGACACTTTAACCAGGCTGCACCAAATCGTACCCCGATGGCTTTGTGTCCTAGACTCTTCTGTCCTTTGCCTCTTTGAAAAATAGTGCCCTTTCTTTGTCTTTTAGTAAAGTCATTCTGTTGTACATGTGCATGTTATATTTGCACATGTAGAGCTCACAATTCCAGTGATGTTGCTAATCATACAAGGGTGTGAAAGAGCAGCAACAACCACAGCTTAAAACACGGCTCTATTTAGGTGACTCAGAGTCAGAAGGCGGCGGGCCTGACCTGCACCACTTCCCTTGTGCTTGTACGGGAATGGGCATTTGTGTATGATAATACTATCTAATTTCTAGAAGATTAAAAGTGACTTATGCTTTGAAGATTTTAGTTTTTGCTGTGAGGTTTTCTAAACAGAAAGGCTGGGGATTTTCAGTTTTAAATTCTTCATGTGCGTTTTTAGATGCTATCTCCTACCACCAGAGGTTCAGGGGCTCAGGTTAGAGTGGCAGAATAAATATAACAAGTGAATCCTAAATATGGAAAGATTGGGAACGAAACCCAACCCAGAAAGTGTGTAAGATCCTCAACCCTCCTAATGTCCAAATTGAGCACAGAAATTTCATCAGTTTTTCTATTCTTAAAAAGATACTGACTATCAATTTGTTGGCAGAAAAATCGAGGTTTTACTGGCATTGAATAACAGAAGTCTTCAGTGGAGTTCTGTGGGAGAGGACACTGAATAACTCCACATGTAATACTTCCACCATGCTTTTGGTGGCAAATGTAACATTTTTTTTTTTTTTTTGGCAGAATTTTGGATTGAACTCAGGCCCTTGTGCTTGCCAGGGAAGCATTTATCCACTGAGCCATCTCCCCAGCCCTGAATGTAACAAATTTTGCTTGATAACACATGTAGCAGGTTTATGACTCCAAGGCCCTGAGTTCAATTCCTGGATTCCTGGTACCAAAGAAAATAGAAGAAAAAAAAAAGATTTAAAAATTTTTTAAAGGGCTGGGGAGATGGCTCAGTGGAATAAATGCTTCCCTGGCAAGCGCAAAGGCCTGAGTTCAATCCCTGGTTCCACAAAAAAAAGAGAGTAAAAAAAACGTAAAAAGCTCCTTGAAAACAAACTTATGACTACAAATATAACAAATTCACATAATGCCATTTTTAGTGTCCTTTAGTAAAAACCTCAGTAGCTGAATACAACTCATGAAAGCAGTTCAATATTTTTTGTTTTGCGGGCCCAGGGTCTCAGTGTGCAGTTCAGGGTTGCCTCAGACGCACTGTGTAGCCCTGCCTGGCCTTGAACTCATGGGAGCTTCCCACCCTTAGCTTCCCGAGTGCTGGGATGACAGGCATGCACCACCAGGCCTGAAAACAGTTCAGTTAGCGTGGAAATAAATTGACATAGTGGCACTGTCACTATTGTCATGGGATAGAGTTCAGCAAAACTATAGCACTGGATGGGTTCCATGTCCCATCAGTCTTCTGTAAGTATCACTTCTGTCCGTTGGATGACAGGAAGATGAGGAACAGTACATTTTTTCTCCTTTTCAGCTTCCACTAACTTTAGAAACTATACCTGCATACCTGTTCAGCAGCCAGTCTGTGGCTTTTCAACATCACATAGGAGGTTTTTATCCCTAGGAGAAAAGAAATTTACACAGCATTTTGAAAGACGTCCTGCTTTTGGAAGAAAACCACAAAAACACAACATATGTAGCTATATCATGTATATATACATACATATGTAAATTAGCTATAGTGGAGGAGGATGCAAAAAATAGCCAGAGATAGAATTGGCCTTTTTACTTTCATTCCTTACCTCTCCCTCGCTCCAATAAATAACTGCAAATTTAAAGTGGTAAAGCAGTTGGAAAAGATGGACTTCTAAGGGCATTTGTCAAAGAATGTTTTGTTGTATCAAGAGCTTAACATCTCATAAAGTTTGCAGCTATTAATTTACTGTGTAATTGTCTTCTCTTGTATCAGGTTGATAAAACAAAGCAAGTGTCCACCTATCAGAAAGTGATCCGCGGAGAGGGGATTTTGCCTGATGGTGGGGAGTACAAGCCCCCTTCTGATACTTTGAAAAGCAGAGACTATTACACGGATTTCCTAATTACACTGGCTGTGCCCTCGGCAGTAGCACTGGTCCTCTTTCTAATGCTTGCTTATATCATGTGCTGCCGACGGGAAGGAGTGTGAGTACTTTTGAACACTAATAAAGAATTAGAGAGCCTGCTAAGATAACACAGAGGATTCCATTAAAAGCAAAGTTTCATTTAGTTCATGAAACACACTCTAAATGAATTGAAATTGTGTTCAAGACCAACTGCACTACTTTATTCCTTTAAAATGAATTAAAAGAGTTTTGAATCTAGTCAATCAAATTAGGGGCCATAATTACTTTATTCAAATATTATTAGGGCTAGATGTAAATTCATGCTGGAAAAACAGTCCCAGGAATAATTGAGTCTAGATACTTTGGCTGCACAAGCCATCTTGTATGAGCAGAGACTGGAATCTATTGACATGGTAATTGCACTTTAAATAAATAAATTGTCCTAGTCAGTTTTACCAGAAAAGATGGTCAGAATTCTTCTTGAAATCATTCTGCTGTCAAACAGGGTGTCACAATCTAAATGCTTGAAATATATTTTAAAAAAATAACTTAGGAGTAAATTAATGAAAATAAGGTATAATTTGAGTAATGAGTCTTCGCTTCATGAATAGTTAGTACTTTCAGGACATCTATGTCAATTAAGGTAATCTCCTGAGATTATCTGAGAGCCAGGGTAACAAAGCAAAGGCTAAGAAATTAATAAAGCAGCAAGTAACAAATTCTTCCATTTTTACATGTAGCCTGATTTCATTATGTCATGAAATTTATTTCAATCAAGAGCTCGATTCTTAATCTCCATTTTTTCCATTTTTCTGTGCGTTCTCGTCAGTATTCCATCGCTGTCTGTGTCTTCACCCAGTAATGTCCTCAACCCCGTGGCACGTGCTCCCTGGCTGTGTTGCAAAGTGACAGCATCCGCATTGCCGCATCACGCAGTGTCCCATGAGCATAGAGTCTTAATGTTCCAAATATCAATGCTATTATTTAATTCATAAATTTTGTTTTGTTTCTAGGGAAAAGAGAAACATGCAAACACCAGAGTAAGTGTCTTCTTTCCTGTTACTTCTCATCCTTCCACTCCTCAGTTGCCCGTCTCGCTCCTTCCATGTTTGTTCATCATGCTTCGTTTTCATTCTTCATCTTTCATAGTTAATTTCATAAACGTGAACGCTGCTTTCTAACTAGAGACACATAGAAGCGGTAGAAACTAGAACTAAAAAGAGTTTGAAAATCAAGTAGACTTAGATAAAAATTAAACCTAAAATATTTCAGGTTCAGCGTATTAACTTGCCATTTGTATTATGTGGTTTCCCAATCTGCACTTTTATAAAGCAGAGAGCAGATGAAAAGAACTTTCTGCCCAGTATTCCTGAGTCTACAACCTACCATTAAATGAAACTTCTGTGAGTATTTATAAATATGCCCTACCAAAAGCAACAATATAAAAAGCCATGGTAGTTTTACTTTAATCATAGAAAATAAATAGAAAACTAATTTGTTCCTTAGGGCTATAATATTAACACAATGCTTCGGAACTTAGTTTAATTTGAGACTTGTGTCCTTCAAAACCAGTTTTGAATTTTCAGTTCGGCTATGGTAAAAGTATGTGACATGGGCCTCTTGCAGAGATAGTTTGTAAAAAGCCCAAAATGCAATAATATCTTGTGATTTGAAAAATAATAATAATTTTACTTTTTTTTTAATGATCCTTCAGGCGAATCCATGATTTTAAATGTACATTATTTATTTCTTTTTGGTGTAGCATCCAACTAGTCCATCACAGCGCTATTCAGAAGTCTACCAAGGAGCTTCGCGATATGTCCAAGAATAGAGAGATAGCGTGGCCCCTGTCCACGCTTCCCGTGTTCCACCCGGTGACCGGGGAAATCCTTCCCCCGCTGCACACGGACTCCTACGACGGCACTAGCATGCCGCTGATGCAGACGCAGCAGTAAGTATCCCCCAGGGCCGTGATGAAGGCGTGCACATACAGTTTGATTCATGACCAGAAAGGCCAAGCTTTTGGCTGGTGTTATTTTGGTTTTCCTATTTATAACTAGTACGGAAGAGACCATTAGGTAATTGCTCATGTCTGGCCTGAAACAAATACAGTAGGGTTACTGTTGAGAAATTTTCTTTCTTTTCTTCACTTATCCAAACAAGGGCACGTTTGCCGTAATATTCCAGAAAGTGACATGATAATAAACCATCCTATACGTTCGCTTCAGAAGAATTAACTGTCAAAAAATAAATGTATACTAGAGCGTGACAGCTTTTTGGACATGTTAGACTTACTTTGTTTTGCTAATCTTTTTTAGTTTGCACAGATCTGTATAATAAATTTTTTTCAGGATAGAGGTTTTTAGGGTTTTTTTATGGTCTGCTTGTATATGAAAATAAGCGGTTCCAATTTGGACTGCAAACATGTATTTTATTGGTGCAGCCTTCTTAATGCTGGAAGACTGTGGTCAGAAGGCCTGCAGGAGGAGCTTGTAAGGGTCAGGGACCAGGCAGGAGAGTGAAGAGCTTTCTGTGCCTGGAAGCTGGATTGTGGTACAGTTATCCACATGAAGCAGTGGCTGAAACTGGCGTTTGCTTTTAAGGGCTTGGCTTTTGCTTTTTTTTTTCTTTTTCTTTTAAGGACCAGAAGTCACACAGTTATATTTGAGGTCCTTCTCATTTTCAGAGTAAATGAAATGACAATGCAGGAAAATTCTTCTGTCTCTCTGTCTCTGTCTCTCTCTCTTTGTTTCTCTCTCTCTCTCTCTCTCTCTCTCTCTCTCTCTCTCTGTTTCTGTCTCTCTCTTTATTTCTGTCTCTCTCTTTGTTTCTGTCTCTGTCTCTCTCTCTGTCTCTCTCTCTGTCACTTTCTCTGTCTCTCTGTCTCTCTCTCTCTTTGTTTCTGTCTCTCTCTCTTTGTTTCTGTCTCTCTCTCTTTGTTTCTGTCTCTGTGTCTCTCTCTGTCTCTCTCTGTTTCTGTCTCTCTCTTTGTTTCTGTCTCTGTCTCTGTCTCTCTTTGTTTCTGTCTCTCTCTCTTTGTTTGTCTCTGTCTCTCTCTCTGTCTCTTTCTCTGTCTCTCTCTCTGTCTCTCTCTCTCTGTCTCTCTCTCTTTCTCTTACCCCTCCCACCTGCATGCACACATCTTTGAATGGAAAATAAGAGTAAATATTGACTAAAATTTTTATCTGGAGGGGCTGTGCATATAGCTCATTGGTAGAGTACCTAAATAGATGAGGGCCAGGGTTCAGTCCCCAGCACTGGGGGAAGCAAATTGGGAAACGCTCTGCATGCAAACCTTTTCCTCCAGAGAGTACTTCTTTTGTCCTTAGGTAAAAATGCATGTTGGTAATTTAAAAATTAAACAAGAACTGAGATGAGTGGCATAAGAAATGAGCTTAGAAAAATTCACTCAAAAGACTTTAGAAATTCAAAAATATTATCAATATTATAAAGTGTTCTAGCATTTTCTTAGGATGTTATAGGCCAGGGATATGTGTGTGTGTGTGTGTGTGTGTGTGTGTGTGTGTGTGTGTGTTTATCTGTCTGTCTGTCTGTCTTTCATTCAGAACCTTTCAGTGGTAAAGGGAAATTATATATATATAGCTTGGACTTGGATGCAATATTCCACCGGAGGTAAATTTCATAGTTTAATTGTAGTGAAGGGAACACATGGATTTCTGTGCTCTGTAACGGTGGTGGTGACCCGACCGTTATGAGTCACCGCAAGACAGAAGTAGATACTGGTGAGAAACATGGGGAAAATTTCAGGAATATTATCATAATGCACAATTTAGCAATCTTTCCTACCTGTTTGAGATGAAAATTGTGAGTGACCCTTTCATTTGCCTTCAAAAGGAAAAAGATTTTTGCTTTAAAACTAGCTTATGTTGTTTAGTGTAGCATGGAAACATTTATGGGTATGCTTCAAAAATGAAATAGTCCAATGTACCTGGAAAACAGGTTTTGCTTGAATGTTTTTTAAGTGAGCTACAGGAGTTCTTTGGAACACCTTGCGTGTTGATGTATTTGTGAATCCCTGGGAAAAGGTCAGGTTAGCTGACTTTTTAGAGAACATCTTGGAAAATGCTTCTATTGACAAAATAATAATGCTACAAAGTCAGAATACGAAGCTATTGTAATCAGTAGAACTGCAGGGTGTTTATCAGTAGAACTATTGCTGGTAGTAAAGTTGGAGGGAGGAACGAAGGGCTGTGTCATTGTTTATTCTTCCTAACCATATTTATTGATAATAAGCCTAGCTCCTGAAAAATTGTTTTGATTCCCTGTGGTTAGAATTCTTCAGCGTTGCTACCAATGTACAAACAAAATAAAATTTTCTATCTAGTTTACATCCAAATGCAGCTTTCAGGTCCTTCCGTAACCCCATCAAAATTGTCATTATGTTGATCAGACCTTTTTGCAGTTAGTATAGTGAACTTGCAACAATTTCAACATATGTGTATTTTGAAGTCCAGAAAAATCTTCCTATTATTCCGATTACTGCTAATGGGGAAGCCCCATTAACTGGCACTTCTATATGAATAGGGTCCATCGATCATTGATGATGTTCACAGTGATTATTCTGAGGCACTGCGGGATCATCAAGAGTGCCTGACTCATCAGAGGAAAATTAAATTACATTTGGTGTCGTTTCAGTGTTGAGTGTGTATTATCTTTCTTTTATTCTTGGAAATGGATAATATTTGCATGGTCTCTATGGTAACTCCCTATAAGCAAGAATATGTGATTAACCTCATTTTCTAGCCATGCCAGGGAATAGGGAATTTATTGCCTGTGGTTCATCAGTGCTGTCCTTCACACAGATTCAACTTTTACACTTTAACTGAGAGGCATAGTTTTTAGCTTTATTTCAGCTCTACGTAGACACGGGAACATTTTGATCTTTGGGATAGAACTGAACTTTCAAGTTCAAAATGAGATATTATATTTGATGAGGCATTACAGTACTTTATTATCAGGTATATACTTGGATAATGCTGCTTTCTTTCTTTAGGGTAAAAGGAAAATTTATTGGAGAATAGAAATGGGGAATAAGAATAGCGCCTGGGAGACAGGAGGGGTCCTGCATGGGTTGCCTCATTCATCCTCATATATTCTTACTAAAGGTACTGGATTTATCATTCATAAGTAATTGCCCAGCCACAGGCTTTGTGTTTCTTCTTCAGACTTATCACCAGAAACATTTGAGCATAAGAATGTGGTTAAACATGTATGCGGGCTTCTAAACAAGACATAAGAAGGTTCAAAGCTTTCTTCAGAGCTGCATAGATGTAACATTGGTCTTCTAAACAAGTCATTGCGGGGGCTGGGGATTTGGCTCAGCGGTAGAATGCTTGCCTAGCAAGCTGGAAGCCCTGGGTTCGGTCCTTGGTACCAAAACCAAAAAATAAACCTCTCCTAAAAAGCAGTTCAACCAAAAAAATACGGTAAAATCAAAAAAGACCAAAAACAAACAAGGCAACTAAACAAGTCATTGCACTTCAGAGGGCTAGAGGATTTTCAAGCACTGTGTAGGGAAGGACTGCTGCTGATACCAGTTACACTATTTTCTCTTTGGTGGAATGCGTCAAACAGCTGCACACTGGCACCATAAATTATCAAAAAAAAAAAAAAAAGTTTACTCTTTTGTAGATAATACATTTGAGACCCTGATAAGAGGCCAAGCTAAATTAGGTCAGCACTGAGATAAGATTGTTTACCTATACTGATACCTTCTCAGAGATTGATCCGGTGGTCATTGACCTTAGATGTATCTCTGATCCAGTATATGCATAAAGTAAATACAGACGTCGTAGAAGGAGAAGCCAGGCTGGACCTGGGAGGCAGAACTTGGACTCCAGAGGGGGGGCTTCCTATTGTACAGGGGTCGTGTTGCTTTTCGCATCATGGACAGTATAAATAGGCTACTAAATTATCACATAGTCTAAAAATGTACTGTCAGCCCAATTTGATCTTTCTTAGTTTATTCTTCAATATATATTTTTAAATTGTGGCATAATTTTAGAGGTACCAGAAATTTGCAGAGATAATATGGGAATTCTCAGATAATATTGACTAGCTCGTCCCATCAACACCGTGGGGTACCATAGTACATTCACGGTGGGCCAGTGTTGATGGTAACCATTACCCACACTCAGACATTTTTCTGTTTGTCTTGTTTTAAGATTTCTCTACTTTTTGAACAAATGTTATTTTTCAGTTCCAAGATTCTGCCTCATATATTAATATCATCATGCATCCTTAATTCTCTTTTTCCTCTCTCTCTCTCTCTCTCTCTCTCTCTCTCTCTCTCTCTCTCTCTTTCTTTTTTTTTTTTTTCCCCAGAACTGGGGATTGAACTCAGGCCCTTGCGCTTACCAGGGAAGCGCTTATCCTACTGAGCCATCTCCCCAGCCCCTATCCTTAGTTTTCCATGGTCTGAACTGTTTTGTAAACCTTCTATGCATCCCATGACCTGGAGAGCATTGACAGCTATAGGAGGCAGCCATTCTGTAGGGTGTCTCCCATGCTCTTACTTACCCAGTCTTTCTCTTCTGTGTCAAGTTCTGTCTTTGTAGCTCAGTGAACAAGTATTAACGTTAGGCTGGGGAGATAGCCCAGTGGTCTAAGCACCTGCCTGGCAAGCACAAGAACCCAGGTTTGATCCCCAGTACCACATGCTGTGCTGGCCCTACAGCAAGTCAGCCACTAAAACCAGACATGGGGCTGGGGAGATGGCTCAGTGGAATATGCGCTTCCCTGGCAAGCACAAGCGCCTGAGTTCAATCCCCGGTTCTGCAAAAAAAAAAAAATAAAATAAAATAAATAAATAAATAAATAAATAAATAAAACCAGACATGGTGGTACATACCTGTAACCCCAGTGCTACGGAGGCTGAGGCAGGAGGATCACTAAAAATCCAAGCTACGTAGTAAGACCCTATACCAAATA